GTCTGAAAAAGTCTGAGTCAACCTAGAGTGATACTTTTCAACTGTCTCAAGTTTATCCTGAATTATGTCATTTATGCAAGTAGCCTGATCAGCCAGTTTATCCTGTGCCCAGGCTCGAAGCTGTTCACAGAAAATTTCACCAGAACGAAAATCAGTATCAGAAGTAAGTGGAGCGTCGTTAAAGCTCCGTTCCATAATTGGCCAGTATGCATCTCCAGCCTTTATTTCACACAAACTAATAAGATCCCGCCAAGCAGCGGAGTATGTTTTACGGATCTGGGCCATCCTGCGGAAAAAGGGCATGGGGTGTTTCTCAGGATCAGGGAGTGAGGTCACAAGGGTAGCAGCTTGGGAAGGGTTGAAGGTAACATACATGGGTGGTGCACCATCCGCTCCATGGTTAATCTGGGTATAACCCTGGGGGATAGAGTGCCGTTGGGGGTGCCTGTTCCCCCCTAGGCGAGGTGAGCCCTGGTCCACCACAACGACCTCCTCGGGTACCACCGGGCCGCAGTGAAGAGTAGTCTCAGGGGTAGCTGTGGCGGGGGCGGCAGGGAGGCCGGTGATAGGAGAGGTAGTTGGGTGGAAACCTGAGGCCTGGGGGGAAGCACCCATCGCATAGGGTTGGTCCGATGTCACAGACACCTCGGACCCAACCACCATGATTGGATAACTAGGACTGGCGGAAGGGACATGAGGAATCAATGCCGTGGAAGGGGCTGTTATGGGGGCCGGTTGAGATGGGCGTGAGAGGTGGGTATTTAGGACGTGAGCAAGAGCAGAGATTGGATCGGAAGGCTCGGGGATGCTAGCGGGAGACAAGGAAGGGGTCGGAGGTTCGGGGGGAGGAGGAGGAGGAGGAGGAGGAGGTGGTAAATCAGTGGGAGGCGGCACGGGAATCGCGGAATTAACCAGGGAGGTAACAGCAGAGAAGAGGGCGGTTATCGAGCTAGACAGGTCACTGGCCGTGGATGGGTCAGGGGTCACCGGGGGAGGGGTCGGAGGGATGGGACCAGGGGGCTGTGTCGTAATAACATGGGTGGAGGGTAGGGATGGCAAACCAGTCGGGGGAGGAGGAGACAACAAGGTAGAGGGGGCCGGGACTTCGGGAGGAGGAGGCAACACTGGAGAAGGGGTTGGAGGAGTGGTAACGGGGGGTTGGGTCAGGGTGGTGAGGGCATAGATTAAGGACGGCAAATCGGCCGAGGGAGGAGGAGGTAACGAGGTAGAGGGGGCCGGGACTTCGGGAGGAGGAGGTAACACTGGAGAAGGGGTTGGAGGAGTGGTAACGGGGGTTGGGTCAGGGCTGTGAGGGCAGAGATTAGGGACGGCAAATCAGCCGAGGGAGGAGGAGGTAACGAGGTAGAGGGGGCCGGGACTTCGGGAGGAGGAGGTAACACTGTGTGGATAGTGGGAGGGTCCTGGAGGATGGGAGGGGTGTCTGTGCATAAGGGAGCAGAGGCAAGGGGACCGGGATTAACGGGCTGGACAAGATTCATGAGAGTGGAAAGTAGGGATGAGGGATCCTTGGAGGAGAAGGGCGAAGGGGAATGAGAAGTAGGGAAGGGCAGAGAGGGTGAAGGGGTAGGGGTCACGGGACAGGTCAATTTCGAAAGGCTAGCGAGGAAAGAGGAAAGGTCTGGGTCCGGGGGTATGGGAGAAGGAGGGTACGTGGGGGGAAGGGGGTCCGGAGGAACGGGGTCGGTGGAATGGGCAAGGGTCGGGGGAGTTGGGTGTGTAACAGACGAGGAGGGTGAGGGAGCGGGTGTCACTAGGGATGGGGTACTCGAGGTAGAGAGGGAATGAGAGGAGGAAGAGGGAACTTCGGTGGGTGAGGCGGGAATAGTTAGGACAGGATCTTGACGAGGATTCGGAGTGGGAATAGGCACTGGGAGAGGTAGCAGAGGACATGGAGGTGGGGGGACTTCGACGGACATGACGGGAGAATGGTTGATGGAGGGGGCTGGGTCATAGGAGGGTTGGTGCATGGGAGTGGGTGGGAACGAGTGAAGTGGCACTGGGTAATAGTAAGCACCATCCGCACCGAGTACGGGGCACAGGGGGGTGGGAGCTGAAGGCACACCCCCGGGGGGTGGGGTCTGTGCTGTGACGGGAGAAGCAGGGCGGGAATTTACTGTTGCGCTCTGGGCGCCATCATAGGGCGGTGGTCGCGGGACAATGGAAACAACATCATCATTGTTAACACTCCTATGGTAAACATACACGATTTGAGCCTCAAACTCCAACTCTTCCTCGACCCATCCTTCCCGTTTCAGACCTCTAGCTACCCGATACCAAGCCTCTGCAACCTTTGTGAGTCCATTATCCAACAACAACCCTTCCTTGTCTATGAGTAACTTCCTCCAAAACTCAGGCTGCAATCTCCCACTGGGCAACATCTGGAAGCCACACACCTTAGCAATCTTTTTAAGTTTCAACATTGCATCTTCCCCTGCCCTTTCTTTCACAATGTCACAAGCCAACAAGCCCTTAGCAGGTCTAGCGTGTTCCTGTCCCATTTTGAGTAAACGAAGCGTGCCACGCGCTAAAGACAGATAAATAGAGGAGGTACAAGGGAAAAAGAATGTCTACAGTGCTCGACTGCCACGAGAACTTGAGCCCCGTGCGTCTTCCCCAAACGTAGACCAGTCACGGAGATCCGCCCACCCGGGGTGGTGGTCACGGACGGGAGCGAATGAGCGTGGGTGACTAACACAGCTCTGGGCAACAGGCACAGGAGAGATAAAGAACAAAGGAGAAAATGAACGTGGCTGCGCTAATGAGAAGACATTTGCAAAAATCACAAACATATAAATGAGCGTAAACTCCGGAATCCAGAACTAACCACACAATACACACACACACACCAAGGGTACCCACACTGTAACAACAATTAAACAGAAACCACAGAATGATAGAGAGTAAAATGGCCGTGTACATGTTAACACCACTGGTGCCAAATATTCAGAGTATAGCAATCCCCAGCCGTCACCCACCAGGCTGGTCCCGGTATGACACAGGTACCAATGAAAACACTGCAATAATCAAACAAAATCCCAGCCCCACCGGCTGTAACGCGTTCCCTGCCCGCTAGGCAGTCAAGCTAACATATAATCCCAGCCCCACCGGCTGTAATGCGTTCCCTGCCCGCTAGGCAGTCAAGCTAACATAAAATCCCAGCCCCACCGGCTGTAATGCGTTCCCTGCCCGCTAGGCAGTCAAGCTAACATAAATCCCAGCCCCACCGGCTGTAATGCATTCCCTGCCCGCTAGGCAGTCAAGCTAACATAAATCCCAGCCCCACCGGCTGTAATGCGTTCCCTGCCCGCTAGGCAGTCAAGCTAACATAAAATGCGTTCCCTGCCCGCTTGGCAGTCAAGCAAACATATAAAATGCGTTCCCTGCCCGCTAGGCAGTCAAGCAAACATATAAAATGCGTTCCCTGCCCGCTAGGCAGTCAAGCAAACATATAAAATGCGTTCCCTGCCCGCTAGGCAGTCAAGCAAACATATAAAATGCGTTCCCTGCCCGCTAGGCAGTCAAGCAAACATATAAAATGCGTTCCCTGCCCGCTAGGCAGTCAAGCAAACATATTTTAAAAGAAGGAGAGACACACAAACATACAGATGAATACAGGAGGCAGATAGACAATCGACAGGTTCACTTTAAAAGGGCACACCGGATGAGTTAATTACCTGTCTCTAGTAGCCTTCTGGAAGCCGGAAGTGGACTCGGAGACAGACCGACACAAAACAGGAGAACAACACAGGCAACGGCTGTATTATGGAGGTGATCAGGCTCCGCTTGTCCCACTTTCCGGAGGTCCGCTCCGGTCCGTTGGTTCCGGCCCTCCGAACCGGCTCTCCGGTGGGCCCCACGTTGGGCGCCAATTGAAATGGAAAAATCAATCAATACATTGATTATTTCTTTGTGTATCTGCCCCTGGCCAAATCAATGAAACAATGCGTGCACGCTCCCTGAAGTAATTCACACCAGACACAGGTTCCAGGTTGTTGAATAACTTGAGGAAAGTTTATTCAGAGGGGACGGCAGGTCCCTTTTAAAGCAAAATTACATCATAAGCATTGTCAGAGATAACATGGAATAATACATCAATTATTGGTTAGGTGTTAAGTGGTTGTTCTAATGCTCTGCCTACTGGAGTGATGTCACCGGGACCATGAGGGTCTCCCACGGTTTCCCGGCGCCATCTTGCTGCACGAGGTAGTTAGTTGGTGTTAAGAAGGGAAAGGGGGGGGAGGAGGGTTTAGAAGCTTCTAGCAGCCATTTTGATTAAAACATGTGTGCTCAGCTTTATATATAATATATCGTGGAATGAGTAAATAGACATTTTCACTAACTAGGAAATATGTGCAGACCTTATTTCCACAACAATGTCCTTATGAGCACTATCAGCTTCTTGTCTCAAAATGTGATTGTTTCTCTTTTTTATCTGGACATGTCTTGCTCTTGTAAATATCCATTTTTACATTACATTATTGGGTTACTTGCTCCCTTGTGCTGGCTAAAACCCCAGTGCTAGCCTTATTAACATTATTTGTCTTTGGCAAATCCTTCAACAAAGAATGAATTCTAAAATTGCATAGCATTTTATAGTATAGTAATTCATGTACTTCACTGCACATCATTTGCCTAATTGCCCAAACATCTTTTCAAAGTAAGCTGAAACTCCCACAATTCCTGTCAGTATAATGTTTTAAACTAATGCAAGTTCTAGAGCAGGGGTAGGCAACCTTCAGCACTACAGATGTTGTGGACTGCATCCCCCATAATGCTCTTATACCCATAATGCTGGCAAAGTATCATGGGAGGTGTAGTCCAAAACATCTGCGGTGCCGATGGTTGCCTATGCCTGTTCTAGAGGCTGGTAGGGTTTTGCATGTTATGATCGCTTAGTTCTTAGGAAATGTTTTTTCCAAACTCCAACTATTTCCCTCAACAATTTCCCTCAACAACTCCAACTCCAGTCAGATGTGTTGGTTGAATATGTAACTGCTCTCTCTCAGGCTTTGACCAAAATCCATGCACAAGTGTTTTCTTCCATTTCAGATCCAGATTCTGATACGGGCATCCACAAGCTACTTCCTGGTGATTGGGTCCTGGTTAAGAGGTTCCTGAGGAAAAGCTCTCTTGAGCCAAGATATGATGGTCCTTTCCAAGTCCTCCTGACCACATCTACCTCAGTGAAATTGGCTGGGAAAAAGACTTGTATACACACTTCCCACTGCAAGAAAGTTCCAGCTCCAGAGGAAGCAGATCTCGCTAAGTCATGAGCTTCATGTACCTTTTTCTGCTGCCTTATAGAGGCCCAGCAAGTTGCTATAACCAAAGATAATCATGTTTACACATTTTGGTATAACGCCTCCAACACACATGTAGATACATTTACTTTTGACTACTGTGATATTGTCACTTGTACCTTCCCACAATCATTGCTGTCAACAATATACAAAGATATACCTAGAAAAAAGGACCCATACATATGTGTGACAGATGACTATTGGGGACATGACTGTAGTTCCTGGAAGGCGGCAGGTTGGAATACAGGATTAACATGGGGTTATAAACCATGAAGTGCCCTAAACAGAGTGGACAGGAATGGGAAGTCTTTACTATACAGAATGACTTTACGGAAACCAACAGGGACAACTCCAATGAAACTTACCTTAAATATAGAGCACCCTAGCCCTGGAGATACTGGAGAATACGTAATGGGAATGTACTGGAAAGGGGGGGTTCATACAACAAATTAGGGACTTTCTATCTACAAGACATGTACTATTCACCTGAGTGGGTAGACATACAACACATGATGGTTAACCTTCTCAAACCACACATCAAGACCCTCAAAGACATGGTAGCCATAGCTAACCCCACATTTGAAGACACTATGGCAGTAGAAACAGGCTTCTCAGACACTAACCTATGGCTTGAATGGATGAGATATAATGCTAACTCTCATAATAAAACTAATTGTTATGCATGTGGAGGAGCACGACCCCATTTGGGTACTGTGCCCTTAGACTTACCCCCCGAGGTAGAAACTTGTTTTTTGAGTCTTTATGTTTATCAGAAAACTAATTGGTCAGCATGTGAGTCGTGGAAAAAAGGAATATCCCCTTAGTACCAGGAATATTTGGCCACCTGAAAGCGTTACTATATATCCCGGGAATTACACCTGCTACGCTATACACAGTGGGCCAGGTACATTTCTAGGAAATTTCCCTAAAGGCTATTGTGCTACATACAGAACACCACCTCCAGTTGATCTCTTAATGAGGCAAGTCAGATCACTGGGAGACATATGTTGGCTGTGTGGGGACATGCAACTCAGATCCAGATTGGAAGGTCTCTGGTGGGGGGAATGTGCCCTAGCTAAAGTTATCATGCCCATACACATAATATCAGATAACCACCAAGGTCCTCTCGACACAACACATGCCTATTTCAGAGCCAAGAGGAGAACCTCTGTTAAAGGCAGTTTTGACCCACACATATATAAAGATGCCATGGGAGTGCCTATGGGGGTGCCAAATGAATTCAAAGCAAGAGACAAAGTTGCAGCAGGCTTTAAATCCATCGTTCCACTAATCACTGCCAACAAGAATTTGAATTGGATTAATTACATCTATTATAACCAACAGCGTTTTGTTAATTATACCAGAGATGCCCTTCAAGGGCTGGCAGAGCAATTACAAGCTACTTCCCAGATAGGATGGCCCTAGATATGATTTTGGCAGAAAAAGGAGGAGTATGTAAAATACTTCCAGACACTATGACATGTTGAACCTTAATCCACGATAACACAGGCCCTAATGGGAAGGTGACCCTGGCAATAGAAAAATTAGAAAGCCTCTCAGAAGAGTTAAAGGACCACTCTAGGCACCCAGACCACTTCAGCTTAATGAAGTGGTCTGGGTGCCAGGTCCAGCTAGGATTAACCCATTTTTTTTTTTATAAACATAGCAGTTTAAGAGAAACTGCTATGTTTACAAATGGGTTAATCCTTCCTCCAATTCCTCTAGCGGCTGTCTCATTGACAGCCGCTAGAGGTGCTTGCGTGATTCTCACTGTGAAAATCACAGTGAGAGCACGCAAGCGTCCACAGGAAAGCATTGTAAATGCTTTCCTATGCAACCGGCTGAATGCGCGTGCAGCTCTTGCGCATTCAGCCGAATGGGAGGAACGGAGGAGGATCGGAGGAGGAGAGCTCCCCGCCCAGTGCTGGAAAAAGGTAAGTTTTTACCCCTTTCCTCTCCCCAGAGCCGAGCGGGAGGGGGTCCCTGAGGGTGGGGGCACCCTAAGGGCACTATAGTGCCAGGAAAACAAGTATGTTTTCCTGGCACTCTAGTGGTCTTTTAAAGAGAAACTCAAGGGTCACTAACTCATGGGATAGATGGTTCGGATGGTTGAGTGGCTGGCAGAAAGTGCTTATCCAATTAGGTATGGCTGTCTTAATCATGATGCTTCTCCTTGTTATTTTTGTCTGTTGTGTATTGCCATGTGTTCAGAAATACCTGCAGAAAACAGTCGACCAGACAATTGACCGGACTACCTCAACCTTCCTCCACCAGGAGTTAGATGACAAAGATTGTGATAAAACTCACTCACCCCACTCTCCTTTGCAGTCCTTCCGCACCAATCACGCAACTACTTCCTTTTAGGGACGGTAGGGATAGCATCTGTCTTTACGGGCAAAGTCTGTAGCGGGGGAGGTAGTGGACAAGCCACTGCTTGTCTAATGCGCAGCACCCAGAAGTGTTCGAGAGGCCTGTGGGACAGATGTGCGGCAACCTATTAGGGACAGTTTAGGGATGGTTTGACTTGGTGCTTATTGTAGTTGTTTAGTAAATAGTCATTTTAAGGGGGGACTGTTATGGACGTAAATTAGAATTAGTAAAATGCCTATTTACTCATGTATACTCATATTCAATATTTACTCAAAATTACTGATAGAGGCTACCCCTCCCATCAACTAACTACTTCGTGTAACAATATGGCGCTGGAATCCGGAGTAAAATCCCGTGATGACAATGATATCACGCCTTGTAGGATGTGCATTAGATAAAACACTAAACACCTAACCAAATGTTGATGTATTTTCTCTGTTATCTATAATTTTGCATATGATGTATTCTTGCTTTATAAGGGGCATGCCGGCCCCCTGAATAAACATTCCTGAAGTTTTTTCATCAACCAGAAACTTGTGTCCGGTGTTAATTTACTTTAGGAGCGTGCATGCATTAAATATCAATAATTTGGCTATGGGCAGATATTCAAATCATCAAACACTTGGTTTGGTCCACAACAGCAACATCTGAAAAGGAGTGCCCCTTTAGGTATTGTATGTGCTTCGTCTCACCAAAATACAAAAACCTTTACCAATACAGCCATGGATATAATTGAATTAAACTCACTGGCTGCTAGAGGTACCTGACACAATACATAAATGTACGCAAATTAAATTTTAAACCTAATTAGAAAGATAATTGGAAGGATTTATGTGACGGATATTTGGGGATTATATGATTTCCAGAGGAAGATTTAAGTTCAAAGAAATCCTGGAAGAAATCAGATTTTCTAAGGGAACATGAAACATTACTTTCGTATGTAACTCTTTCATGCCAGTCAAAAAGATCAACAAATGGATTCATAATGATAGTTAAAGGGACACTGTAGGCACTGTATCTGCTTCATCTCATTAAACTGGTTATAGTGTCTGGAGTCCTCTGGTGCCATAATTTCTTTCAGCATTAAACAGTTTTTAATGTTGTAATGTTTTAATGCTAAACACGAGTCCCCGGCAATCCATTCTCTCTGTGCTGCTTTGGCTAATAAGGAAGTATTAACCTGAGCAGCAATACGCAGCTGTGATTGGCTGAGAGTGTCAGCTGACTGCTTTTAGCCTGTTAGAGTTGACTGACGGTATGAATGGGTATGACAACAAGGAAGTGTGCAACCTCTGCCTTAGCTACACAAACTGAAGGGGCCGGACTGTGGGTTGCCAGGGACTCATTTTGTGGCATACTGCACAAACATGATTCAACACTGAATGGAGTGACAACGCCAGGGCACTCCAGGCACTATAACCAATTCAAAGAGATGAAATGCTTATAGTGACTACAGTGTCCTTTTAAGTAAATTTAGCATTGCTCACCTCATTCATAAACACTAAAAAAAGCAAACAAACAGAACAAGTGAAATCAATGGACAAAATCATATTCTTTACATCATTTAAAGTCATGCTAAGTATAGAAAATGTTTCAATTTAGATTATAATATCTGCGTTACAATTTGCAATTATAATAGCTGAAAGATCAAAGGAAAGGCTACTATAAGGAAGCTGTGACTTCAGTTCATAAATGGAATAATAATTAACTCTTGGGGAAAAAAAATGATACTTTATGGAATAATTCAACGTATTTCAGAAGCATATATTGGCTGGTTTTAATGACCATGCGTGGGTGGATCAGCACTGTACTTTTTACACGTGTTACTTGCATCTACTTTGTTTACTATATTTTTGTGTTTGACCGTAAACAGATTTGGGTTTTTATATTTACTTGGTTGGTTAACCACCTATATGTAGCCTTTTACAATTGTTAATTATTGTGATGTATGAATCTTCTGTTCACTTAATCCAGTATTGACTTGATTTAGAAGAAAGATTTTTTGTACTGAGTTGCCATGCATTTGTTCTAGTGGTTTTCCCTTTAGTCCACATGCATATTACTGCTCATGTGCAAGAGATTTTATCTTTCATGCATTTGTTGCCTAACGCTAAAGCAAATCATTAAAGGGACACGATAGATCCCTAAAGCTCTCCAGCTTGCTGAACTGCTTTATGTGTAAAGAGGGTGCCCTACTATTTTTTATTTTACAAAAAGCACACATTGCAGTTTCAGAAACAAACCTTGTTACACCCACTGGCTTTCAATCACACAAACGGTCCTGTTACTTCCTGGTTTGGTTAGCTTTTTTGCACTGAACTCAAGAGATAGCAATATCCCAGAGAACCTGCCTTGCAAAGACTTCTCATTGAGCTGCATTGGGAAGTCTGTGATTGGACAGTCACAGAAAGTCCGGGTTTATAGATATTTTCTAACTTTATTTCTATTTATATATATATATATATAAATATATTTCTAAAATTAGAATGTGTGTAATAGAATCATTATCAGACTGGCACAGCACTGTAATCTAATCGTCCAAGTATGTCAACTGAATAAGAACAGCTATCTGGATCACTACCCAGACAAAATTAAAACACCAAACTAAGATGAATAAGGCCCCCCCCTCCCCCTGATGAGCCGCAGTCTGGCGAAACGTGCGTTGGGGCTCCAGACACGTTGTCCTTTCCTGTGTTATCCTGACACTGGATGCAGCTCTTTTCCTTAGACCAATAATCAGCACCCCAGGCATCACAGGACTGACATATGGACCGTATCTCTAGATGAGTTAGCCAGTTAGACCACTATTTAGCTAGAAACAGGTGCCCTTGTAGGCACAGACTAGTCTTTTTCTTTCTGGCACTCTATCACCACCACTAACGATAATCACTTGTCTATTCTATTGGGTTATGTATCTAGCTCCTCTGGAGACAGCTATTCTACTGCTTATTATAGCTAGACGCTGCTGTTAGATTTGATCTATTCCTGGAGCCAGACATCACCAATGGATTGACCCTCACGCTAGTACGTTCCGTTTTAGGGTACTAGCAACTAGGCAGGCATCCTTTGCTACAATATTCTTTCTCACTAAGATGATCTTCTAGTGACTGAGATTATAGGGATCCAGATATTTATAGTAGGTATGTTCTTCTGAGATATTCATATACTATACTTATTTTAATTTTGTCTGGGTAGTGATCCAGATAGCTGTTCTTATTCAGTTGACATACTTGGACAATTAGATTACAGTGCTGTGCCTATTTTTTAACACAGCATTTATTGCTCAGTGTAGTCTCCAACTAGATTCTGTCATACCTGATAGACACATTTGTATCAGTCTTTGGACACATACTTTGTATAACATTCTAGTTAGACTCCACTAGGGCTCTATCTTTTTTTTCCACTGTGTATCCTTTTGCTCAGTTTTGTGTATAGGGCACCAAACAGCTACTTTTCTGCGGTGTATTTCATAACCCTGGAGTTGTGTTCCTACTCAGACTCTGTCCGTTAGTTTATTAGTTTTCACTCCCCCTTCCATTGTATATTATCCATACTTTTGTTTATTTAGCCTATGACCTGTACACTATCACACTAATACCACATTTGTGGTGGTTGTGGTAAGTGTGCAAGTGTTTTTCAGTTGTATAATAAAGAATTTTATTTACTTTTCACTTATTATTTATTTGGGACAGATTGCCTCTCCGTTCTTCTGCTGTTGCTTACCCCAGGGTAACCCCCTCATCTGATCCCATTTTGTTGTACTTGGACCATTGTTGGGCTACCATTTTATAAAATTATCAGACTGGAGCAGTTTAAATGGGATTATTTAAAAGTTGCACTGCTGAAGGCAACAGAAAATTGCATCAGGCTTGTCAGTAAGAGCAAAAAATTAAAGAAACCACTGTCATACTCCACAGAAGTGGCCAAAATAGTAAAAAGTAAAGACAAATAAGTCAATGGGACCTGATGGAATACACCCAAAGCTATTAAAAGAGCTTAATGGTGTACAAGCAAAACTATTAATGGATTTATTTAACCAATCATTGTTAACGGGAGTAGCCCTAGATGATTGGAAGCTAGCGAATGTTGTGCCCATTCACAAGAAAGGTAGTAGGGAGGAGTCGGGCAATTATAGGCCAGTAAGCCTTACTTCAGTACTGAGGAAACAAATGGAAACCATGTTAAAGGATAGGATTGTTGAACATTTAAAATAACATGGATTTTAAGATCAGACACAACATGGGTTTACTTCAGGGAGATCATGCCAAACTAATCTTATTGATTTTTTTGATTGGGTAACTAAAATAAGATCAGGGTGGTGCAGTAGACATTGCTTACCTAGATTTCAGTAAGGCTTTTGACACTGTTGCACATAGAAGGCTTATCAATAAACTGCAATCTTTAAGTTTGGATTCCAATATTGTTAAATAGTTTAGGCAGTGGCTGAGTGACAGGCAACAGAGGGTTGTAGTCAATGGCATATATTCAAAGCAAGGTCTTGTTACCAGTGGGTTACCTGAGGGATCGGTACTTGAACCCATTCTCTTTAATAATATTTTATTTAGTGATATTGCAGAAGGTCTTGATGGTAAGATATGACTTTTTGCTGATGAAACCAAAGTATGTAACAGGGTTGATGTTCCTGGAGTGATTAGCCCAATGGTAAATGATTTAGGTAAACTAGAAAATGGTCAGAGCTGTAGCAAGTGACATTTCATGTGGCTAAGTGCAAGATAATGCATCTTGGATGCAGGGGCGTACCTAGAGCATTTGGCACCCGGGCGGATCCTGTGTTTGGCACCTCCCCCCCCCCAAAAAAAAAATCTGTAAAAAATGTTAAAGGTTTTCTTCTTTTTTTTTTACAATTTGTAAACTTCGCAAAACCGCTGTCAGCCCCTCCTACAAAACTCTTGTCCTGCCCCTTTAAAAAATCCTGTACTGCCCCGTCTACAAAACCCCCGCAACCCCCTTCCACAAATCCCCTGCTTATCCCCTTTATAAAGACAAAATCCCTACAGCCCCACACACACACATTTACAGGCAGACAGTCACACACTCAGTTACAGGCAGACTGTCACACACTCAGTTACAGGCAGACAGTCACACACAGTTACAGGCAGACAGTCACACACACACACACAGTTACAGGCAGACAGTTACACACAGACAGTCTCACTATAGTGGGACTATAGTGTTTCTTTAATGTGAGGTAAATTAGATCTTAGTGCCACGAATAATATACTAGATTGCCTACTTACAACCAGATGAGGATGATGATGGGCTCTAGCTGCAGTCTGGCTCCATTGGTCTGGTGTAGAACAGGCTCTCTGGAGGCGGTTTGTAACTGTGGTCACAAAAATCAATGTTCTGGGAGAACGGGAAGCAGCTCCATTTTTTGGGGGCCCTTTACACAGCTCAAGGTCTGGGTCCCAGGGTCCACCTTCATGTTCCACCAATGAGTTTGTTCACATGGGGTGGAGTGTGTAGGGGATGTCCTGATATGTGTGTAAGGAATGCACTGTGTGAAATT